AGATCACAGTCAGCTAAAGTGGCCTGCAGTACTGCACCCTAACCACTGTGCCACCTCGGCTCTTATCATCTATAATCCATCAGTCTGCCTATCTGTTTGCCTATCTGTCTATTTATCTATCACGTTTCTGAACCACCCATCTCCCTCAAAGAGAGAGGGAAATTTATATACATACATGCATACATCTCGGGAACTGATGCTTCTTTTCCTTCTGTGCCAGGTGGAGCAGCTCCAATGAACTCCTGGGAGGTTCCCATGAACTTTCTGGAAGAAGGTGGACTGGCTGAACGGTTTCTTCACATTGAGCGAGAGCAGATAGTCCGCCTGAACTCTCTCAGCTTCCTTGATCCTGTCCAGTATGTTTATAATCCTTTGGATTATGCCTGGGAGCCTCACCAGGACTATGTACGTAAATATTGCCATTCCCGGAAAGAGGTCCTCTTCCTTGGGATGAATCCAGGGCCTTTTGGCATGGCTCAGACTGGGGTAAGCAAACAACCAAGGCTGAGGCTGGGAGGGTAAGAGTCACAAAAATAGAACTGAATCTGCAACAAAAGACAGATTAGGATTGGGCATGTGTATACCATATGCCTTCAGATCATACAGAATTCATCTAATGTACCCTAATATGTAGGCCACCTGCCTCTCCTTAAAAAAGCTCCTTAAGAAGAAAAGTCCATTGCCTTCCAAGGTGTCTCTTTCATTGTCCAATTGATTGTATGGTAATATTTAAGTCTGTTCCCTCCCCTTGCAATTTCAATCGATGGATTCAAATTTTCCCTTCTGGGGCTACAGGAAATAAATTTGCTCCACTTTCTACAGGATATCAATTTAAATACTTTTGAAAATGACAATGGAAACCTTTAAAATTTCCTTCTTGAAGATACTAAAGGTAGCCAACTCTTTCAACTTTTCCTTAAGATCTTTTTACCTTTGTTTGTTTTCTCAATTTGTAATGTAAATGTAATGTACTCGTGTAAAGCACAGGTAGTTTGGCTGAATGAGCAGAAGAAAAGACCTGCAGGGAGGAAATATAGGTTAAAAAAAAACCTTGCTGGTACCCTTCTTTAGAGTGATCTTTTCTTCCTTGAAGTTGGGATGGATATCAGTTGTAGTCCAAATTCTGGGATCTACCATTCTGTTTGAGTACTAGTCAAGTAAACTCAGATGAGAAAGAGTTCCATGCACAGAGGTGCTTTTTCAAAGGCAACTGGATTTTGTTTTTCTTTGAAGACGTTTCGCTTCTCATCCAAGAAGCTTCTTCAGCTCTGACTGGATGGTGGGGAATGGAAAGATTTATACTCCTTGCAGACTGCTGGTTAATTGCATTCTTTTTAAGAGTCGTTGAGGCCACCTGGAGGTTTATCTGTGTCCTCAGGGTCACCTGAGTGGTGCAAATGGGTGTGGAGCCTTGGAACTGTTGATAGGACAACATCATCTATCTCCAGCCTACAACACAGAACTTAGAACAGTTCCAAGAAGGTTCCACACCTATTTGCACTACTAAGGTGACCCTGAGGACGAGTGATGTGCGGTGAGGTTTATGGCTGGTGAGGCAGTCTTCTCCCCTGACATCCCACTGTCTAAAGCGCTTTCTTTCTTTTGCCCACCTGAGTTCTGACAGGCAGGCGAAAGAAAGCGCCAGCCCACAGCTGGCTTTCTTTTGCCCGCCTCTATGTTGGACAAAAGAAAGCCAGTGGCGGGCTGCTGCTTTCTTTCTTTTGCCCAGAGGTGGGCAGCTCAGGCAGGCTGCCACCTCCGGGCAAAAGAAAGAAAGCACCAGCGGGCAAAAGAAAGCCAGCGGTGGGCTGGCACTTTCTTTCTTTTGCCCAGAGGCGGCAGCCTGCCTGAGCTGCTCACCTCTGGGCAAAAAAAAGAAAGTGGCAGCCCACCAGCAGAGGTGGGCAAAAGACCCGCCTCTGCTGGTGGGCTGCCACTTTTTTTTTTTTTCCCAGAGGTGAGCAGCTCAGGCAGGCTGCCGCCTC